AAAAAAGCAATTGGGTATGTATCCAGTTATTTTTACATAATGTAGTGGTGTTAAATAGAAATTATTAAGTACTATACCAGCATCATAACTAGATTGAACTTAAAATAGTAATCATATCTTCATATACTAATCAAGTGGTCTAAAAATATGAAGCTATTCGTTTTCTTGACACAAATTAGTATTAATTTTTGCGTTCAGTTGACAAGAGTTTTCATGCTCCACCATTTCTCACCGTCATCCAGTCCTACGCATACTTAGTGTAACACTCAGAAGGAGCTAGAAATACATTTTATACTACGCAATGTCTCTATTAAAACCACAATTAAGACAAAATGCAATAACTGTACCAGAATACCTGTATACAAAAAATTACTAGAAATGTACCAATACTTTGTACTTTGTGGGCTAAAGTGATTGGAGATAATTGTCCGGAGGTTTAAGACGCCCGCTTCTCATGCATGAGAGTGCGGATTCGAAACCTACCAACGGCAAGTACCAATGTGACTTTTTCCGAGTTATATGCAAGTATGTACTTTCTAAGATTATTCATAAACGGTGAAAGAAAACATCGTGAGGAAACCTGAGCTTATAATTTCTAATTATAAGTTTGAAATCGCCAACCCGCATTGAGCAAGCGTGGTGATTAATGCTCAAACCTTCTCTTTGCTCAGCAGTAGGCATTAAAGGCTGTTGATGTCCACTATTTTATATACTTCATGAACTGCTGTGTATAAAAGTCCATAAGAATGCCAATAGACATAGTTCGATTCGCAATAAGACTATTAAAATATAAACGCTCGACATAAATTTGAGAAAAACATGGACTAAACGGTATGGTTCTGAAGCTTATTGGATATTTAGAACTAATTAAAATGTAATTATACCATAAAGAGCAAAGCGGCTTACTTAACACACCCATTCGAGGCATTAGGTTTAATGTTTTTGCGTAAATAACTGTCTGTATTTGGATATATTATTTTCGTCGTGAATAAATTGACGGGCGGCGGTCATAGATTGCGTAATAATGCCATTTACGTTGGAGAAATAGAACGGATCTTTTGCGCGCACTCGTGAATGATTCATTCAAATAAGTTCACGTGAATGTACGGTGCAGATCAATTAAAGATTTTGGTAATTGCTCGTAAATTGTGAATTGCATTTTGTCAAGGATATTTGCTTTCTTTGAATATCTCGCCTTATACTTTTATTTTTCAAGGGTATATATATTTTTGTAGGTAACATTGCCAACAACAATACATTTATCTAGCATTCTTATATGCAAGCGTTCATAGTTTACTGCTTCCGACTTTTAGTTGCAAAAACATCACCATTTATAAGAGTTATATCTTATGCTGTTGACTTAAAAAGTAAATAAATAACGTTTTCCGAGTATTCAAACAAACTAACTTCACAATTTTATACCCAAGTCACGTTCGCAACTACGTTTAACTAAACATAAAGTATTTCATAATGTCTAATTAGTTGCCTTATAAGGAACTCGTTAATTCTGGACAAGCAAACGCATGCGCCTGTCAACCTATTTTAAATTAAACAAAAACTGTTATTTATTCTTTGACATGTCAACAAATTACTGTCTACGATACTAGTTTTTGTTGCCAGTCTAGACTTTAATACCTTATTAATTTATTCGTGTTTTGTTAGGTCGCTTTGTAGTAGTAAATTATGTGGGAACTGTGCTAACGTATTCGAAATTTCAATATATTTCTAGGCTATACCTACATGATACAATTCATAAAAACAGATCATTACGTCTACAACACGGCTCTAGTGCGTAAATAAAATGATTAAGTAGATGGCTAGAAATGTTTATAATAATTTCTTTTTACCAGTATATTATGCGCAATATGCGCATGCCATAAATTCAGTAAAAGGAAGCACGAAATCATATTTTCTTTACCGTTGTTTCGTGTGTAGATGTTCTCGAACCATCTCACATCAATTACTGTACTAATCAACCGAGTAATTATACCGAGTTCGACCATATTACTAGTAAATGAACTGCGTGGATCAAGCGGTTCACGTTTGTTCGAGAGTGCGGAGACAATGGGCATCAACGACGAATTGTTTAAATTAGAACTTCCTACGACAGAGGTCGCGGCCAGCGGTCCAGTCCTTGTTGCAACCGTTTCCTTTATTTGTTTTATAAATTAATCTGTTAGTTAAATAGGTCACATGTGTAGGGTCTTTATTCTTATGTTACCTCTTATTTATAAACAAAAGTACTTATTTTATTGTTCGTGATTTTTTGCACAAGTAATCACAATGATTGGCCCACTGTGCGCTTGTTACGATCCTTTTTGACGTTGTGTCATAAACGCTAATTTATGCATCATGCTTTTTGTTTTTTTGTTAAACGTGACGTAGTGTTCTAATTTTAAATAGAATTGTTATTTTATAATTATTCTGTCTTCTTTTTTTTATTAAGTCTATAAACGACATTTGAACTTAGAATAATTATAATGTTTGCACATTTGACATTTAAATTTTTTTAATTGAATCTACAGTATGTTGGCAAAAGAAACTAGGTTTGCGGCCTGTTTTTCATCAGTAGGTTAATGTAGTTATTATTCAATCTACATAATCTACGTTCGAGCACGTCTGTTTAATTTCGTCTTCAGACAAAACCTATCCATCAAAGATTAGCTTAGAAATTCATATTATTAATAATACATATTGCATAAACCGACGGCTTATCTTTTCGCACGAATTGTGATAGGTGCAGGCGGTAGCACATCGAACTATCCATTCAATTCTTTCAAATTTCCTACCATATCTCTATACAATAAAGTTGAAAATCAAATGATATTTTCAGGTGGGGTAGCTTTATAAGCAGTTGTCTGTACAGCTGGTTACCATGAAACGTTACGAAGCTCATAAAAGACGGTAAACGCATATTTCGCTGGAATATCACAATGGACAGGGATGATAATATGTAGATAGAAGCAATGTGTGGCGTAAATTTTCCATGTAAATACGTATATGGAAAATTGCTACTCATGACTGAAATAAGCCCTTAAACATTAAGCTTGTTTTTCTTTATTAAGCCATTAGGTTCGTACCTTATTATAGATCCACGATGACCATGTTATGACGATAGAGTACAAAAACTACATTAGCCATCATTTTGAGTGTCTTAAATCTCGACTAACAACCAAAATTAATAATCTAAGCCTAACGGGTTGCCGGGGCTCCGGTTCGAAGAGCAGGAGTAGGAACGGAGTGGTTTTTAGTCAGTCAAGAGTATTACACTCCTTCTCGCCTAACCCAAGGCTGGAGAAATCATTGGATGATTTCCTCCATCAAAAAAGGGCGAAGATTGTTGTGAATTCTTACGTAGAAAATCTATAGTCCAGTAGCGTCACAATAATATTTTATTCTACCATAAAAATAACTAGTTATTTTCTAAATAGATGCTATTGTCCTCTCGCTCAGTTCTTTCATCTATTCGAAGTGATTTTCAAAACAAAACCAGTGTATAAATGGATTGTTTTTCTATCTTACAAGAACAATCGTCGACGTAATACAAGTAATAAACTGAATAGTGGTGAACTCATCTATAGTTACGTCTTCCTAACCATCTCCCACGCTTCTGACTCTTGAAATAAATCAAATTACGGACACCTACACATCAAAATACACGAAATTCACCAACTTCTTCAAGCAATTTTCAACCTTAGTTTCAAAGTGTTGAAGTTCAAAATAAGTTAAATAAGTTTTACAGGTTAGGTTAACTTGATGTGCTTGTGTATCCAGGCATGTAAAACTACAGTTTCGGCCTTGTATTGTTTCTATAGTTCTCAGATTAACGGACCTCAATGTCAATGTCCTAACACATAAAGCCTTATGCAGACTTTTATTTTGTTTACCTTACACAATAAAATCACCCTGTATTAAGTGCATAGGACTTGTAACCTAATAATCGAAGAGTGAGAAAAAGTTGCTTGTGATTTATGCGGCTTTGCTAATCTACTTCGAAAATTGAAAAATGTGATCGTCTTGTATTTTCTCTGTGTTCAAACCACGAATGAAAAAGAGGTTGGTCTTTATTATACATATAAATATGTACAGAATGTATTTTTATATTATTCATTGAAGAAATCTCTATCAAAACAAGCCTTTGTGTGGAGGTCATCCAATGCTTTTTTTTCTTTACATATCGCGTGTCATTCCTGACAGTTTTGACAGATTGAAACCGATATTTTCTTTGTGTAGGCGTTAGAGCTAAAGGTTAAGTGATTGGAATTCAAAAATAGAATTAGAATAGAACCGTTTTGCACACCTTTGCATTTAAAAGCGATGAATACGTGCAATTTAAATATGGAATAATGAATTTGACATTGTTAACGATGATTCCAAACTCTTTAGTTTATTTCTTTCGCAAACTGCCTATTTTGTGAACATTGAGGTTAAAAAATAATTGTATAGGTTTTTCAAAAATGTTCTCATAGCGTGGACGTTTCCTTAAGCATTATAAAAACCAAGAATGTTTAACATTTCCTGGCTGACCGAGCGCCCATTCCCACAAAATTAAAGGCACATAATGAGTTCGCAGGAGCTAGTAGTATTATTTTAGCTGTTTAAATTGAGTATGGAATGGAAGAAACAGTATAGAGGTACGACTTTGTTGAAAATACTGAAAAATGTATCATGCATGATACTCATGAATGATTTATCGAATGTTTTTAGAAATGATTAGGCACTTACATCGGACGATTGTTTTTCTAGGAACAATATTACCTATCGGCAACAAATAACCTCTTACTTTACTTAGAAGCAATCAAATCACGATTAATTTGTCAGAAACCCTGACAGAAAAAAATTGAATTGTTAATTAAATCCACATTTAAATTAGACCATATTTACGTCACTGAGTTACCTACACTATGAGGTATCCGTGCAAAACTCCAACGATATCTCTAAAAACCTACCAGCACTATCAGTCAAAATTGCCGTCATTCTTCATAATCTGCTTCCAACAGCTAATGACAAAACTTATGCCAAAAAAGTGTGAAAACCAAAGAGAACCAAAGTTATTTAGTTAAATGCCTCCGACGGAGACTACGGTTGAGGGGACCGGTATGCTGTGCCTTTCGAGACACGACAACTGCCCCTGGAGTGAAGCCCTAAAGTCGGCTGACGTCGACTGGACGGGGATCCAGTACACCTGCCTCAAGATCCTCCATCTATACTGCAAGGTCTTCGAGAAGGAAGATGTTTTGGATATGGTTATTAGGTGAGTTCTATATTTGTTTTAAGAAGCCTTTTTAGGTGTTGTATATTTTAAAATCATAAAATAGACCAGGTTAATCTTCCAAAAATCAAACAAAAGAGAGAATTAAACCGTCGATGCGCTAGTTACGCATACCTACTATCTCTTCATGTCAAAGTTACCATCTGTTTGTCTAATAAAATACAAAACTTTTTCATTCCGAACTGCGCATAAACATCCGATAATCTTCAATAAATCGTTGAACGGAAACAAGTAGCTATTTGATACAATGTATCCCACTAAATCTCGACTCGTCGGCAATAACCGTCAACGTAAACAAAATGTCGGCAATAATCTGAACAGAGCACTTTCCCGCGTTAATATTTCATTAAAGCGATAATTTTATCGTGGAACAGAGTCATCAAATTGGGCAATGCAATGCTGCCCACGCAGCGTCAGGATACGTTGCGCGTCGCTTTAATCGCCAGTTCCTGTCGCCTAGAGATAATTTATTCTAGAAATACATGTGTTTTGTTCTGTTCTAGTATCCATTTTGTTCTAGAAATTTAGTGCACTGAGAGTACTAACAATATCCAAAACTTTGTATTCCAAAGTTTTAGAAAAATTCTTACGGTTGTGTATAAGACATATTATGTTGTGAACTTATTTTTACAAGCTATTAACGTAGTTTATAGCCCTTTTTTAAGCAGTCCTTCGCCAAGCACAATTTCAGTCACCTCATAACTATCCAGTCTCCAATTTAGGGCCCTTAGTTACTGACATAGCCCATTCAAAATGATGAATAGTCCAACCGTAACCAAAACAACGCAACGCATATTACTTCTAAAATTTACGGCGTGTAGGTAGTCATTTAATGGCATCCACATGATGATGGACCTACTGGTCTTTATGAGGAATGAGTAAGACTAGTGGCTCGCTCCCAAGTCCATTCATCATGCATCAGAACGGAACTGCAAGGTCTTGTCGTCATATGAGGACGTAAATCATAAAGTGGATGTTATATTAAATATCTGCACTTCTTCTACTTCAAATAAAGGATACAAGACGTTCTTTGCATTACACTCTAACTTTGTTATAGTATCGATATTATACTGGCGAAACTTGTGATGGTCCTCTAATTCCAGAAGTCCGTCTTTGGCTACGGTACTGCTTTCGATTAGGCTACTTCTCAAAATAATGTCACCTAATGTAACAAGTGCATAAACGAAACCAACTTCTAATTTATACCTATATTATTCATTATCTTTAGTATCTTCACGAATATGATGGGCCTCACTTTCCGCCAGACCAAAATCTAGGTCAAGAATGGGCCTAGTTAGTAAAAATAATATAATTAGGTACACCGTCTGGCACAAATATTCTTTTAAAATTAGTTTCTTTGCCTATACTGATTGACATTGCCTTGATCTTATTAAAATTAAACCAATCATCTCAGAATCTCATACTGCCAACTGCATATCAAGAAATTGAGAAACTCTATGAGTATATCGTGGTGTTTCAAGGAATGTTCTCGTACAGTCATTAGGAATCAAGTTTGTTTTAAACTCATTAGGAGCTGTGTCAATATTTCTTACGAATTTGGTATTGAGCCGTCTTGTATCAACACAATTAGGCAACTAAGTATCTAAATACTGCTATTCATTCAAAACTTGTTCATTATTTCTATTACTGTAAAGTATAATATTAATTCTTTAACTACTGTGTGGGTTTATCCAATGCTCATTTTCCAATCAACTCATTATATATCAATACCAAATTTTTGAGGAAGGATACAGATTATGTTTTGTTTATTATAAGTAGGTACCTAACGATGATTTCTATGCCAAACTATACAATAGAATTATTATAAAACAAAGTATGTATGACGCTAATTTCAATATTTCATTTCGAGAATAAATACCAGTCGTTTTCTAAAAACTGCGCACTTCAAATGGCATATTTATGCACTGCATGGGTCCATCTTCAACACGTTAACCGCCTCGTAGGTCATCGGTGACCACAGTTTTCTGTCGGCAGTCAAGAACTTAACGAAGAACTTCATTTAGCTGTTTTCTATCAGCAGCCAAAAAATTACATTTCTCTGATCTCTACCAAATCTTTATTTTCTCAAATTCAGTAACATTTTAAGTGGAATATACTCCAGCTTCAGTTCACAATCAACACATTTTCTTTTAAAATCGTACCCAAACATCCATTCGTCTATTAACGACCCAAGGACTTGGTCTTTAATCATCTAAACTCATTAAAACTGTTCTAAAAACAAATTAGAATTCAGGTTAGCTTCAAAAGCCAGTGTTTATGTAACATAGAGTTTTTATGTGAATATTTAATCAAACAAGTCTGGTCTAGCATTATAGTCGTCTGCATTAAATCCAGATTTCAAAGAGCATGGTAATAAAATTGTTTTGTTCCTACCAATAATAAAAGATAGTAGAAAACTTTCCGAATCGTAAAATAACTGCTTTTTGAAGTGGAACTTCGAATGGAGGGGTGTCACGAATCGAGGATTGAGTTTTTTCTCGAAATTTTCCACGATTCAAACAATACTTATATCAATAAATTTTACAATCAAAATTTACCTTAAATCTTGTATAGTATGGAGACTTACATTATGAACGTCTATTTCACTTGATTAGGTTTAACAGGGTTTCCCAACGATGTAACAATTACATTATCATTTTGCATAAAACCATTATTGTCTGATTTTTTGTAGGCCCTAGCCATGCTCTGGCGTAAGGACGGGACTCGAGTCGACGCAATCAAAAAATGTTGCAAATAATCTTCCTCGACGGTTTAGGAACTTGATTGCTTCTACTCGTCTTATCGTCTTAACTGTTACTTCTCACTATATACGGTTTTCCTTTCTATCCTTGAACTCCTTTTTAGTACCAATTAGTTAAACACTACCTGGTTACTTTTTTCATTTCTTTCATCACTGGTCATATCCTATCTACTACACTCATTTCTCTTAGCAAGTTGTCATAGATTATGGATATCTTTTACTAATCTTACAACAGCATTAAACCCACACAGTAGTTCAGAGATCCCCTTTATTCCCAAGATGCACTTGTAAATACTTGCAAAGTTATATTTAGGTATGACCGTGACTCTCAAACATATACCTAAGTGTTTATGACCGCTGTGGAGGGCATTAGATTTAATTTTATTGGTACTTTCGATATCATTGTTCCGAAACGAGTTTAATAGTAAAATAAATCTTGTAAAGTTAATGGATTTTTCTCGAACTACGATAAGAAAAACATTTTCATTGTTACTTAGACCAGGTGTTACTCATGATTTACCATCTGTTCCAAAAATGATGTAAATACACATTAAAATTCATTAGGACCGTCTTGAATTAGGGATGATGGCAGGGTATGAAAATTTAAAATCTAATTAGTCAGTTAGTTAGGTAATGAAAAAATATTAGACACGTATTTTTTTACTTTGTAGTACTTATAAAAAAATGATACTTAAATAAAACGAATCAAAGTTTAGGAGTGGGGGCTAAAACGTCATTTCTACGTATAAAATGTACATAGAAGTGACGTCGCGCGACATTTCAAATCAATATATCGTTGAAAGTATTCGTTTCTATATAAAAAAAAAAATACGTGTCTAATGTTTTAAAATGATCTACCAGACGGACATTTAAATAAAAATTAGTCCTCTATCCTATTGTTGTCAGTCAGTCATGTTCATGATGGACTATATTATAATTAGTAGTCGTAATAGTACTAGATCAAATCTAGGGTTAGGTCACAAGATGCACATCGAATACTAATCTACGATTTAACACAACGGGACAAAACAATCCAAAATTATGTCCTGCTAAAACCATTGCAGCATTATTATTAATATAATTATACAAATAATGTTCAATCACTGTCATTACTTTCAATTCATTTCAATACAATAAACGTTCGAACATGTTTATCAAATCGTAAACCCGTTTATATTTAATTACCCTATTTTTATGTGTTTTCGCTAATTTTATCGGTATCCAACGAGGCAATAAAACGGTTTTGCGGGCTATAAAGGAACGTTAGCCGGGATGAGTCGGTCGTAACATGTTATGGCAAGTCTAATGAGTGTCATGGCATTAAGAGTATTCGCGAAAACAGGGCGAAACAGGTGGACGGGTGGACCGCCTATTGTGGGTTAATAGTAGTGCGTTAATACTGATTTATTTTTGTTGGTTTAATATTTGGAATTACATTGTTTATGCCCGAATACTGAAACGTTAATTTTAAGTCGCGCTTAAGCATAGTTCTGTCTCTACAAGTTCTTTGTAAAATGACAGAGACAGCACAATATTTAAGCACGACTTAAAATTGAGTATCGTTTCAGTATTCCAGCATTAGCTTTGCCTTTTTCTGCTTTATGCAATGGACATGGTGTTATTAGTCAAATAACTATCAGAACCAGTTTCAAACTTTCATAGTTATTTCTGAAAATCCAAATTTAAGGTTTCAATAGGCAATTTGGCCAGTATTAGAAAACAGCTGACTATGTTAATGATAGCATTGACTGCGCATGACTTGGTCGGCTATAAATGTCTATAATGTGGCATCATTACTGGAGACGATCCCTTTTATACTATTTTTAAAAGGTACTTTTTAGCTCTATTCACAAATCTTGTAGTCGTGTTACGTGAGAGACGTATTTTAGTAACAGAATTATTAGCAAGAGGAATTCAAAACAAAACTCACCTTGATCAAGACTCACAACCCGTGATGAGATTCAAGTGGCCTATTTAATTCAAATTCAAATGAATCGGAAGAAAACATTCCAACCTTGATTCACGTTATATCTTCATTTCAAATATTTATATTAATTTAATCTTTACGCCAAGATGAAGATGGTTTTGTAAACAAAATGCCACAAACTGCAAAACATGGAAGATAGAATTGAGAAATAGTTAAAATCTTATAAAAAAAACTGAAAATCAGTCTTTCTGATTCGATAGTTTTATTTAATTGTAGTAATACAATCGCATTTGA